TGCCGTACCGTCGCCGGGCGGCAGCTGGGAATTTCACTTGTTGGAGCTCACTGAGCCCTGAAGCACCGAGGTGGCAGGGGTATCAATGAACCTCCCTGAGAGCATTGAGGGAACAACCAACCTGACTGCTGTAGCCTCTTCACTTGAGGGGGCGAGCTCTCCCGTGCCGTACCGTTGCCGGGCGGCAGCTGGGAATTTCACTTGTTGGAGCTCACTGAGCCCTGAAGCACCGAGGTGGCAGGGGTATCAATGAACCTCCGTGAGGGCACTGAGGAGGATTGGGCACCGTATACTGAGGTGTTATCCTTTCCTCCCCAGGTGGGCTGACAATGGTAGGACCGTTTAGCCGAGGTCCTCTTTGACAAAATAACGGTCCGCAGATGCGTTTTCGGTCTAGAAGACCCCAACTGAGAGCGTCACCCTGACCCCCGATCTTCTGTGGAGGGGTGCGGGTTGCAACGCTTTTTTTTTTTTTTTTTTTTTTTTTGGGGTGGTGGGGGGGTTAGAACAAAGGATTTTGGAACGTCTCTCCTAAATGGAACCCCTTTTTGGAATGATGAGAGAATTCAAAAAACAAAACAAAACAATCATTAACAGAAGACAACAGTTGAATTACATCACAATGAAAAATGTTGATCCTTTAGAAATAAATGACTATGAAAATAAAATGGAATTGAAAGCTACTGCACACATATTATGTATTATAATCATCAATACAGTCAATAAAGTCTCTAAGCTGGTCCTCCACAAGCCTCATATCAGTCTGGCTGTCATAACAGCACCACAGGAGAACAACAGCGAAAAAGTTCAGTTTCCTGAAATACGCCTTTTTTGGGGGTAGCAACGTTTTCTATGTTTAGTTTGACAAAGAGCGAGGGGGAAAGAGCGAAACGCGTTCTAGCAGATTCTTGCGGATACCATCAGATAAAGATAGGGACAGCGCAATCATCCACCATCTGAACGGAGGCTAACACTGCCTCGAGACAGAACGCGCTCCCCGTTTCTCTAGTTCAGTCATGGAAGGGAGACAACAACAACAA